TTATGGAAAAGGATCTTGTTACAGTGATGAGTGTAGAAGCACAACAAAAATGTTTGCAGGATAAGATACTCATGAAAACGAACATTCATCACCACCTCTGGAAGGAATTTAGGACAAATCCATGGTATCAATTTATTCTTGATATAAGCTAACTCATTATATGAGCTGAGGTTACAGCAAACAGGAAAGTGACTTTCCATTTAAGAAACTACAGCACACTAAGTGATTCAGAAGTTTATCAGTGTTGTCAGGAACACATTAAAATCCCACAAAACAGAAGGGGGTTTATAACAGAAGATTTCCAATATCTCAAACATCATGCGAATCAGATGACTATGGTTGCAAAGACACTTTTGTCTGGAACATTAGAGGCCATAAGGGAACAAGGCATCAAGGGAACATAGATGGAATTAATCTTAAAACTAATCTTAAATTAAACTGGTTAAGTGGTTTTTGGGGATGGAGGGATGGAACAATTAAAAGTGATTGCATGGGCCTAAGTCATCCTAGCTTTTCCAATTAAAGCTTCAACGTATTCTGATAGGCCAGCTGAAACACCTGCTTCAACACAAAATGCAGCTGGAGCTCTGTTTTCATCAGGAATCAAACTTCTAAGGAAAGGATTCCAAGGGTAGGATGCAGTAAGGTATTTTGGTTTCATTTACCCATCTATGCTGAAACTATCAGGCTGACAGAACTGACCACCAGCAATAGCCATAGGATTCAGAACAGTATTTGCCTGATTCACCATGGGGTTATTGGGTTCGTTAAAGCTAGAGACAGACATTCAAAAAGCCTTAGCCTGAACTGATTCAATCTCTACAGGTTAGTCTAACCTGGCTAGGCTGAACCAGTCTGTAACCGCATGGACATCCCCTCTGGACTGAAGAAATGCCAGAACATGCCTGCAGTGGCTCAGGTTAAAAGCCAGGGGGCACTAGAGCAGTCCTCCCTTCCCTTCTATACTGCTGAGCTGAGGGGGGCGTGGCCAGGCCCCAGCAAGACATTCTGATTAGGGAGGGGCTCCCTCCCCTTGCTGCTCTTGAGCAGCCCAGCAGGGAGTTGATAACATAGCATTTAATCAGCCCATCAGCAAAGCAAAAGATTCTCTCATTACATCAAGCTCTTCTTAAGCAACTTTTCCAAGGAAGGAACTAAGAAACATTACCAGCTGACCTGCTGATTAGCTCCAGAAACCCCTAAGTGGACACTGTCCTGTCTGCCTTACGCAGACACCTCTCAGCGTTAGCTAGTATACCACATGCTGGCTATGGTCCGTGATGTGGGA